TGATAGATCAGATTTCATTTCATCTATTCTCAAACCTTTTGTTTCCATCCCTTCTGACCCTGTTAATAAAACTTTCTCATCTGAACCAACCCCTTCTAAACCTCAGTTTGCTAAAATATTATCTGTCCTCACTCCATCTTCTTCATACCCACCTGTCATTTATATCCCTTCTTTTTCCATCCCCTCAACTTCTGAAACCATAAAAACACCCTCTTTAGAAACCTACCTAAAACCTAAACCTAGGCTGGATGTTGGTACGTTATTTGCTGGTTTTGAAAAAGAATTAAACATGTGGTTGTTGACTATCAAGAAGGAATGCATGTCCAGTTTGAATCCTGATGATTCTGAGGCTATCTGACAAAGATTCAGATCCAGATTTGACTCTGTAGCTTCCAATCTTCAAGAGATTTGCATTGACGATGCCAAGGTTAGATTTGCTGAGGATGTTAGACAAACTCTTCTGAGAGTCAGCAGAAACCCAACATTGCTTCTGGAAAACACACCTGCAAAGGACGTGTGTATTCCTTCTGAAGTCTTGGTTGCTTCTGAGACTGATGAAGTAGTTAGCTCTGAAGTAGTAGCTTTAGAAGTTTCCGTTCCTGCTTCTGAGACTATTGATTCTGCTCAACCTGCTGACATGGTTGTTCAGAATGCTTCTGCATCTTTGGTTGTTCATGATGCCTCTGCTTCTGCATCTGCTCCAAAGTCATCTGAAGTAAAGAAGGAAGACGAAGATCAGCATGCTCAGATTGTTGAACTCAAGGCTAGCAACACTGAGATGAAATCTTGGATGGTTAAACAAGAAAAGAAAACTGATGAAATCAAGACATGGATGACAAAACAAGACGAATCCACATCTGAGATAACGAATCTTCTGAGGATGTTGGCTTCTCGTCCTACTTAGTTTTTTTGTGTTGTTTGTGCACTTGTGTTATCTGTCTGTTTGTTTTTGTTTTGGATATTGTTTCTGGTTTATCTTAATTAAATGCATCTGAATGTTATGTTTTTCTGAATGAATTTATCTGTTGCTTTATTGTTTTTCTTTTGTTATTTTTTTTCTGTCTTAAAGTTTTTCTTAAAAGATTTTCTTTTTGATATGAAAAAAAGGGGAGAAAATGGTAATTTTGATAATGCACATAAACAGTTACCAAAGGCAACTCATACATGATAAATTTCAACTAATCATATTTCTTAAGTGTTTCAAAGCTAATAACTCTCATCTGATAAATTCTAAGAATTAACTCTAAACTAAAAGTCTGAGAATCTGCAAGTTTCCTATGAAGCTGAAAAGAATACATAAGTTGAAGGGAAGTATTTTATCTTTTCAGAAGTATTCATTTCAGGGGGAAATTAATATTCTCAGGGGGAGCAATATTTCCTTTCTTTTTAAACAAAATTTCCCATAGTTTTTGTCATCATCAAAAAAGGGGGAGATTGTTAGAACACAGATTGATGTTCAATATATCATTATTTTGATGATAACATTAATGAAATTTTGTATAGAGAATTTATATACACTAATTTTGTTCAAGTGTTTATTTGTTTCAGATATCAAAATTAATATTATTCTGGAAGCAAGAAAGCCTCTGAACACCAAAGAACAAAAAAGCTCTGAGCGTCAGAAGCAACACATCAGAAGACTCTAATCTGCTAAAATGACTCTGAGCGAAGCTAAGAAGAACTTGAGCAAAGAACATACGTAAAGCTTCATAAGACTCTGGAAGTACTCAACGCTGCAAGTACAGAAGTTCTGATAAGCAAGTATGCTCTGATAAGGATTTCACGCTTAAAGCACTTTGCTGCAAACTCTGATTGAGTTAACTCTGACCTGAACAACTAAGAACATCATCAGAAGTTCTGATGCAAGACATTCTAAAAGTTGGTGAAGAAGATGCTGTTCAAATAAAGATCCGTTGGTATATTCCTTGTCTTATCCTAAACGTCTCTTTCCCCATTCGTGCTTGACACAGGATTTCAGACAAAAAGGATTTGTCAGAACATTCCTCTTCTGAGAAAGGAAAAGTCAATAGAAGACAAAAAGATCAGAATGCACAGATTGCACAGTCTTTGAGAAATGGATTTCAAAGGACTATAAAAGCAAGTCTTAGCATCACTTCAAAGGTTAACGAACTTGAATCAAATTTTTGGAAAATTATTCAACAAGCTCTCATACAAATATTCTTCAAGCTAGAATAGTTTTTATTTTCGTTATAAAACTTGTGTAAAAATCACTGTTGTGATATAGCTTTTTAGAAGCACATCTTAAACACATTTGTTAGTTTATCTTTGTAAAAGATTTCCTTAAGAAGACCAAGTTGTGGTCAGAATTTCTTGAGAAGACTAAGACAGTTGTCTTAGTGGTTTACATTGTAATCAAGTTTGATATAGTGGATTAAGTCCTTGTTGAGAAAGGCAAATCACCTTGGTAGGGTGGACTGTATTAGTTTGAGTTCAAACAAACCAGGATAAAAATACTGTGTTATTTTTCTATCATCCAAATTATTTTTAAAACCCTTATTCAACCCCCCCTTCTAAGTGTTTTTCTCACCTTCAATGATGTGTTCGACGATGAAGGTGAGCTGGTACACTATGCTTTCTATGCAGATGTTGAACCAGTCAATGCAGCTGAGGCATTAAAGAATTCAAAGTGGTAACTTGTCAATTGCCTCAAGGCAAGAAGGCAATCGATGTGAAGTGGATATAAAAGGTGAAGTTAAATTCTAAAGGAGAAGTAACTCGATACAAGGTAAGAATTATGGTGAAAGGATTTCTTCAGAAAGAAGGAATAGACTTCGATGAGGTTTTGCACCTGTTGCTAGGATCAAAACAATCAGGTTGGTTGTTGGTCTAACAAACATGAACAGCTGGCATATGTGTCAGATGGATGTGAAATGTGATTTCTTTAATGGCCCATTAGATGATGAAGTTTATGTTGCACAACTAGTTAGATTTGTGAAACACGGTGAAGAAAATAAGGTATATAGGTTGCATAAAGCCCTGTATAGACTCATACAAGCTCTAAGAGCTTAGAATAAGAAAATATATATCTTTCTAAGAGAGAAAAAATTTGTAAAGTGCATAACTGAGCACAAAGTATATGTAAGAAGAAGCAAGAGTGGGTTGCTTATACTATGTCCCTATGTCGATGACTTGTTGATAACAGATAGTTGCAAGAAAGAGATCAAATACTTCAAAGGTGATCTTAGCAAGCAATTTGAAATTTCTAATATGGGCGACATTTCATACTTCCTTGGCATCAAATTCTACAATATTAGTAGAGGCTTAATGATGCATCAAAGAAGATATGCAAGCGAGATACTCAAGAGATTTGAGATGGAAGACTGCAATTCGACTTTGACACCTGCTAAACCAAGATTGCAACTGCCAAAAGACTCAGAGAAAGATGATGTAGCCCCAATACAGTACATAAGACTTATTGGGTCATTAAGATACCTTTGTCACACAAGATCTAATCTAGCATAAAATATAGGTATGATGAGTAGATTCATGCAGAAGCTAAAGATATCACACCTATCAGCGGCGAAAAGGATACTAAGGCATTTGAAAGGAAATCTCGACGATGGCATTTTGTTTCCTACAATTGATGAAGGGAAAGAATGCAAACTAGCGGCTTACATCGACTCAAATTGGTGTAGTGATACTAAGGATAGAAAATCCACAACTAGTTATGTGTTTATGATAGATGGTGCACAAGTTACCTAGAACTCAAAAAAAGAACCAATGGTGGCACTGCCTTCGTGTGAAGTAGAGTACATAAATGCTTTTCTCTATGCATGTCAAAAAACGTGGATGGTGAATTTGGTATAAGAAAGGGAAGGATCATAGAGTAATTACCATGAAGATAGACATCATGTCGGCTATCAATTTGGCGAAGAATTTGATAACACATGGAAGAAGCAAGAACATTGAAATGAGGTTCCATTATCTTCGAGAGCATGTAGCAAATGGGAAGCTAAACTTGGAACACTGCATAACTGATAATCAGATTGCAGACATCATGACGAAAGATGTGCAATCGAAATGTTCAAAAAATTAAGACCTATGATGAATATAGATAGCTTAGACACAATGAATTAGATGGTGCGTTGAGAATGTGACTCCTTGTGTCAAGCCTGTTACTCGACAGAAGTAAGGAAATGTCGAAATATGTCTCGACAAAATTTCAGACTTAGCTTTATTTATTTGTTTCAGATGAGTTAGTTAAGTTAGTTAGAGTTTTCTTGGTGTGCAAACAACCTCAACTTATAAATAGGGAGGAATCCTATTATTGCAAAGTGTGAAAAACGAATGCAGTTGCATAGAGAAAAGATTGAATTAATAAAATTTCAGTTTTAAAACAGAGAGAAACTCTATAGAAAATTCTCTTTCTTCCTCTTTCTCCAAAACTTTAATTTCCCTTTCTTCTCCAATTCATCTTTTTTTCTTTCTCAATATCGATTGTCCAACGGAATCATCTTGCAATCAATGTTGGTTGTTTCACCAGAGTAAAGAGTGAAGAATAAGAAGAGTAATCAATAAAAAAGATTGATTCTTATTCATTAAGATTGATTCCGATTTCTTTATAACTTTGGATGTTAAAATTTAAATTTAAATTTTTAAGAGGGGTGTTAAAATATAAATTTAGATATGGAGAATTAGTTGCCTTGAGAAAATAAAGGTACTCATTTGGACTGTTTGTCATCAAGCCATCCTAACTCTTAGCATGCTACGAAAGTAGATGCTTATTATCAGTCCTAGAGTTGAATAACTAGTAAATAAAAAGCATTACTGACATTTAAACTTAGTATCTTACAATACTCAAATAATATATCATACAAATGATTTCCATATCACATTACTTTTACAATAAGACCATGACTATTAATAGATTAACTTACTTAATTCTCATATAATAGTAACAAATATTAATGCAAGACACCAAACTATGAAAAACAATTCAAACATCACAATTAAATAGACTTCGTTACAAGTTCATAAAATCAACATCCATGACGTGAATATGTTGTATAGATACCCCATTCCTTTTCTAGTTTATATTTTAGTTGGTCCAGTTCTTTTCCTGGCAGTGATACTGTTATCATTCTTCCATTATCACCATCATCATCATCTGGTCCTGGAAGAACCAAGACAACCCCTTCATCACCTACACCACGAATATCACAATTTACCATTATAGCTTTCTTTCCATTAATCTTCACTCCATAAAAATCACCTTCTTCCAAATCTACAAATGTCAGTTTTGCACCATAGACAACAAAATCTCCTTTTCCTTCACTTTCTTCCACCAGTTTTTCCAATACATGATTCTCATTTATTTTTTCCTCAGCTATCAGATTAACTAACTCTAATAAATTAGATTCACCGGGCGACAATTTTGTTTCAACTCTACTCAACACGAAGTCGTTCGTTGGAAATTCATTTTCAAAATTTTCAACACCGTTAGAAACATTTGCAGTGGATATTATCACAACCCTAGGTCCAAAATCTCCTCTTATTTGTGCTATACATTTCCATATCATAGCTGAAATAATTTCAAAATATTTTGTATTTGTATCCGTAGATGCGAATGTCGTAGCCAAATGGTGAAGTTGTTTAGAAGTGATATGAAAAGTGTGAGTAGCTACATAATTTTCATTAGCAGCAAGCCAATACTTGTCAACAAGTGTTGCCTTTTTAACAGAAACAGCATAATCAGAAATAGAATTTGATAAGAATTTAGTTTTGGTGGAATTTGATTTTGGTGGTTCGTGAGAAGCTAGACTGTGACTCCATTTGGTGATGAAGTTAAAAGCTGAAAACGCATCTCCAAGTATGTGAGCCCAACTCAGTCCCAATGAGAGTCCTCCACATTTGAAGTATGTGAACTGTGATAAAAAAAAGACACATAATTATCTGCATGGTAGAATCTTAAAATCTAATTATCAATCTGTCTATAGTATATAGTATATAGTATAGCAACTACCTTTACAAAAACCAATGGAGAAAAAGCAAGATCAGGACCAAGCACATGATCGTGCACGAGTCCATCAACCGAGTACTCCTTTTCATCCATCCATTCACGCAACGTTTTCTCACACCGCCACTCCGCGACTCGAACACCGGCGTCGTTGCACTTGATAAACGGTCTTCCTGATTCGGATATTCTAATCCGACCCGAAACATGCGAGCATGAATCGAGCAAAGGGAACATAGGCGCTTTTAAATCGGAAAATGAGAGATTTTGAGCCGCTTCAGAATCGAATAGATGAACGGATCGAATATAGTGCAGTTTCATTAACAAGTCCATGGAGTTTAAGTTGTGCTCGCCATCGTTTTCGCCTCGCGGGGTTGCAGGAACCACTGTTGAAATTCTGGAAGTATCCAAATTCGGTAGTGGAGACATTTTGAAAGATAACTGACTTAATAAGCAAGATGAGATTAGTAGGTTGGCTATATGAATTGAGATGTTTCTCTTTGAATTTGTATTTATAGAGAGATTTTATATCTATAATCTGTTCATTGATAATGAAATAGTACTGTACAACCTCTCCCCCTTCGTTTTCTTTTGAAGTGCTGCCGACTTGAATTTAATATAGGTAGAAGATGAGAGAAAAACTTTAATTTTGAATAGATATATTATGTAAAAGTAGTAAGTAGATATATCGGTTATTGTAAATTTTTTTTGAAAAGATTGCATAAAAATATAAGCATACATGAAATAATAAAAAATGAGAAAATTGAAAATTGAGTGAAAGATGGAGAGGGTAACCACTTGTCCATCAGAAAAGGCAGAAGGGCATTTGTACATAACTTCTATAATAAAATTATATTAAAATAATTCACATATTTTAAGATATGATTTATAAAATGAATAACAACTATTAAGAGTAATTTAATATAGTTGATCAAAATGAATTGAATAATTTAATATTGTTATTAATTTGCATAAATATTAAAACAGTATTATAAAATTAAAAAACAAATTTAAATAATAACTATATATTTGATAGGATGCAACATTTATTGGATATCAATGGAAAACAAGGATTTCTTCTTTGAATACAACGAAGACTTGTTTCTTGTTCGTTGACCACATTGCACCTCCAAGACAACAACTATAACTTCATCCGTTAAGAAGATAACGTGATCAACATGCTACATAAGCCTCCATTAGTGAAAACTAATGGGAGGAAGCATATTTAGGTACGAAATTTTTTGTTTTGTGAGAATTATTGTTTGAAGAATTTTTTTTGAAGAAACTAAACTTAAAAGTTGACATATTTATAGAGATTAAAAACATATTTACACCCTTTATTATAAATTTAAATTTTTAGTATCATTAATTAAGTTTTAATATGTTATAGTATTTATAATTATAAATAATATATTTAATTTTAAAATAAAAAATGAAATATATCATAGATGTGATAAACTTATGATTGTTTTGTTTTTAATAATCAAATATAATTTTTCTAATAATTTTTTAAAATCAAAGATCATTTAGTAATTTAAAAGTTTTTTTTTTCAATCAAAGCTCATTTATTTAGTTTTTAATATTAATTTAATTATTATTTTAGAATTAATTAGTAAAAAAAATATTTCTATCACTTACTATTTAATTTACTTTTTTATTGGTTTATTCTCCATTTTTACTCTTCTTATTTTATGTCTCATTATATTATTATTTGTATTGAAATTCAATTTATTTATTTAATTTATAAAGAATTTATTATTATTTCTATGACTAAGGTAGCTATTAGAAATATAACTACATAGTTACAAAATATATTATATAGCATAGTTTCTATTGTGTATCTATTTATAGAGTAACTTATTGAAAAATTGAGATCACATGATAAAATATCAGTATTTTAACATGAAAAATTAAACTATTCATTAATGTCACTGTATAATATTCCTGTTGATATGACTATTCTACTCGTACCGGAGATAATATGTGGGTGAAAGTAGTCCCCTCTTTTGTACCAGATTATGTTGTAAATGTATTTGTAAAATTAAGAATATCTCAAAACATGTTGTTAAATTTTTTGATGGGATTAATTTATAGTACTTGCAATTAATACTTTAGATTTAAAGTATGTAAAACATGATAAAGAATACTTATTTCTCGCATTGAAAATCATAAATAATTTTGTAAGTGGACAACATGATTATTGGTTTTGTGTATGCAAATAGGCGATTGAAACATATGTAATAAAAAAGATGTTACTCAAATGCATATCGATTTTGCATAATGTTGACTATTTTTTGTTATATATAACTAAGTAATTACAGATAGCAATATAAACTTAAGTGACCAAAGAGTTGAATATGATAGTAAAGTGCATTCATATACTTGTCAATGTAAATGTTATGCCATTTATGATATAATAACCACATTAGTAAGCATAATAAAGTGTAAAATGTTAAAAATAAGGACAAGGGTACCAAAATGATTATAACTCTAATATTTTAATGCATAAGTCATTTAAAATAATTATATTAAATATATTATATCAATTAAAAATTAAAATTAAAACTATTTTATATATGAATTGATGGATAATATATAATTTATGTTCAATGTTAAATATATAATCAAAATTAATTTAAATATTTTAATATTAATTATTTACACATTTATGTATGAGAGAGAATAAACCTCTTAATAATAATATTTTAATCCAACAATATTGTAGTTTCACAAGAATGTCATATAGTTGTCATGTCATAATTACAATGTTGTAGAGATACAATGCAAAATAGATATAAATTAAAATTATGACATAGATTTTTGTTAACTATTGAGATAAGATGATAGATTGTTGCACAGTAAAAGCATTAGTGTGTGGCTCATAAAATTATGACATATAAAAGTATCGTAAATATAAAAAGCCTTAATAATTCTAACAAAATGACTTATCAATTTTTGAGTTTAATGAAGTAATAATATATATTTTTGTGTTTAAATAATAATTATTTTATAAATTGAAATAAATGAATATAATTAAAATTTAAATAATAAATGATATTAAAAAAATAGATAATTTTTCATATAGTGTAATAAAATTTATTAATATTGTAATGATTGTTCAATGGTATAATTGACACAAAATAATAGTAATTTAAATTTAAATTTTATACTATCGATTATGATTTTGTTTTTAATAAAGTGTAATAAAATTATTAATATTGCTATGACTTAAAATATAATATTACTGAGTACGACACAAAATAATAACAATTTAAATTTAATATTGTAATGACAAAATTCTCAAATGTAACTAAATATAAATGGGTCGGTTACAGCAGCAAATGTTATTGATGTAAAGGACACAGTATGTGACATTACAGGTAGATATGCATTAGTATTTTACAAGGAAATAGTACACAAAAAACAGATTTTAGCAGCAGACATTCTGAATGTATTGAAAGGACATCATAATGTGTGGCACAAAGTTGCTAATTTTTAATAATATTGAGCAAGATGCCAAGACCTATCCAAATAAGTTGGATTTGTAATAAATCAATTTGGTGAGAAAATTTAATAACTTTACATAGACAATTCTTTAAACATACATGAAGGCACCTTTTGAACTATTGCAACAAAAAAAATTATTTAAACTGCAAAATCAAATCAAATCCCAATTAACTTGAAAAACATCAAATAAAATCAAATCGGAAATCAAATAATTAAATCAAATTCCAACTAAAATTAAAACTAAATAAAAAAAAATACATAAAATCAATTTAGATTTGCATTTAGTTAGTAATGAATTGTCAAATCCATGAAATCAAAAGTAAAAAAAAATAATAAAAAAAAAGATTTTCTGAAGCTAATAAGAAATCAATTCGTCAGCTTCCTATAACTAAAACCCTTATATCCTTATTTTCCAATCAAAATTTTCACAAACTAAGAATTTTAAACATTCTTTTGCTCAAAAAATTCCACATACACATAAATAAAACTTAAATCCATCAAATTAACACCAAATTTCCAAGCCATGAAATGCTGAAATAATTTCAAATTCCATAGTCATCCTATATCCCCAATCATTATTTAGTTAGAACTGAGTACACATACTATACAAAAAAATGTGAACCGTATCCACCTTTCACACTATCAAAAAAATAACTCTATGCGAATCTTCAACTGTTCAAAATACTCTATAACGTCGTTGTTGTCCAAACCATCAACAACGTCCTTATCACAACCATGATAATCTTAGTCGTTCAAAACTATATCCAAATCATTGTCGATGTCAATTTCAGATTAATCATCAAATTTGTAATAGCTACATGACACTCAATATTCTAATTATAACAACAATATTTGACTTAGGAATTTAAAGAAATTCCCTGCAAATCACTTTAACAAATGACATAAATAAAAAATCAAGAGTTAGAATACAAAACAACAATTTTCCCAAACAACAAAAAAAGTTATTCTATTACAACTTAAAAACTGCTTAAATTTACCTTCACATAGCTATTACAAACTTTAAAACTTCTAATATGCCTTTGAAGATTTCCATGAGAAACGTACATGTAAAACATATCTCTCTGATCATCATCATCCACATATGCAGATTCCAAAATAATCCCACCATTTATTTGATTAGAAAAGAGTTGTATTTACGCAACATACCAATGAGTGAAGCTTTTCACTGAAGCTACAAATAACAATGTAATTAAAAACCCTCATTAAGCAAATCTACCACCGCGAAGCCGCAAACCGCCGCAACATTTTTTTTTTTTTAAATTTAAAAACCAAACCTCTCATTTAACAACGAACAACAACAAATGCCTTATGAAAATAAACCAAAATCTCAACTTTCTTTCATCTTCTCTCTCTCGATCTATCTCTCTCAAACAAAATCAAATGCACATAAACATAAAATAACAATAACAAATATCACATGGAAAGAAAAAATAAAATGGAAAAGAGAAAAACACTAATCCAATGAAAACTATTGCATGACAGTGATGAGGCAAGGGTGGTAGATCGTGATGCAGAGCATTTCTCTTACAAGTATTATTACGTGCTTCAAAATAAGAGAAAAAACTTAGATTCACATAATCAAACTATAGATCTAACTTCTCAGATAATCAGAAACTAAGAAACACAAAAAAAAAAAAAATCCAAAATGATGTCGTTACGGTGTAACTAATCCATGTAGCTTCACAATAACTTGTTGATGAAACGATGTAGATCAACCAGATCTAATTTCTCAAAACCTGCAACAACAACAACAAAAAAAAAATATCAACAACATAATCGCCACGAAGGATGGAAGGAAGGAAGGGAAAAACAGATGAATAATAGAGTAAAATGAGTCTGAACTGCATGGAGAAGGAAATGACGGAAGTTGTGTCGTTATGAAAGATACACAATTAGAATAA